TGGTGATGGGGCGGGCTGCAAGTTACTACAGAGAATTCTTTCCCAGGTGCCTGGCGGGTGGGTCTTGCTCAGTGTCCAACTGACCACCATATTTGGGGTCAGGAAGGAATTTCCCCTGGCTCAGATTGGCAGAGACCATGGGATTTTTTGCCTGTCCCTGCAGCATGGGGCATGGGTCACTTGCAGGTTTAAACTATGTAAATGGGAACTGGAAGTCTTTAAATCATGATTTGAGGACTTCAGTCACTCAGCCAGAGGTTAGGGGGTTATTACAGGCATGGGCGGGTGAGGTTCTGTGCAGAGCCGGCTCCAGGCACCAGCCCACCAAGCTTGTGCTTGGGGCGGCACCTGGAGGGGGGCGGCGCGGTGCTCCGGCTCTGGCCGCCGGGGAGAACGGAGCCCCGGGCAGGCTCGCCACCCTCCCCCCGGCGCTCTGGCCGCCGGGGAGAGCGGAGCCCCGGCCGGGACTCGCCGCCCTCCCCCCGGCCGGGACTCGCCGCCCTCCCCTGCCGCGCTGGGCGGGGTGGGGGGGTGGGGTGGGGGCGGCCAGAGGCTTTTTTTGCCTGGGGCGGCAAAAAAGCCAGAGCCGGCCCTGGTTCTGTGGCCTGCAAGTCAGACTAAATGACCGTGATGTTCCCTTCTGGCCTTAGAGTCCCTACCTTTCCCTGCCCCCAACATACCTCCCCTCTACACAGGAGGAGGCGACAGTGGGCAGCCTATGGAAATGTTCACTTCATACTACTCAGGGGACTGTTTTTCATTCAGGGAATCAATGATGCCCCTTCAGGTCAACACAAAGCAGCTGAAATATAATCAAGGATCTGGTCCAATATCTCAATAAGAAATGTGGAAGTGGACCCAGACATTCCAAGTCCCCTATCACTAGGGTGACCAGACGTCCTCTTTTTAAGGGACAGTCCCGTATTTCAGCTCTCCTGCAGGGGTCCCGACTTTTTCTTAAAAACAGGCAACTTGTCCTGTATTTTCTGTCTCCCCCGCTCGTGGCAGGTCCTGCTACTGGCCGGATCCCTGCTCTCCAGCCGCCTGCCCGCCAGCAGTGAGTGAGGGGAGGGGTGGGTGGGTGTGCAAGGCTGGGGGAGGGGCAAAGCTGCAGCGCATGGAGCCGGCCATTCTGTCAGCGCAGCCCCCGCTGTCTGCCGGCTCTCGGCCAGCAGGGTCCCCCACATCCTGTTTGCGGCCGGCACTAGCTGAGATGGCTGATGAGCGCGGGCAGCCGGTTACGTGTTGCTCTGCTAACCACCCAGCTGCCCTTTATGTGCTCCCCCTCTTGCTGTCCTCTCCCTGCTTTGCCCCTTCACCACCACCCCAGCCCTGCTGCTCCTCCATATCCCCACCGGCAGGGCGCGTCCCGCCCCCAGCGCTGTGCAGAGACCCAGCCCCCAGGTCTTAGTGCTCAGCTCACCAACAGCCTGGTTCCTACCCTCCCCACTGCCTCTGGCTGGGCAGGTGCCCCCGGAAAGCCCAAGACCCTCCGGCCCAGGGCTCTGGCCAGGAGGAGCCAAGCCCTGCATGTGCCAAAGCCCCCCACAGAGCTGGCATGGGGAAACCTCTCCGCCCCTCAGCTAAGCTCTGGAGTGGCGGGGGAGGGGAGAAGGGAGGAAGCGATTTCCAGCCTGTTCACACCCTGACCCTGCAGGCTCCACAGCAGGCTCCCAGGCAGGGGCTTAGCAGCCTCTTTGCCCACGGCCTGCCGCCCTGCCCCCAGGGAGCACGGAGCTGCTTTGTCCCTTAGGCACCCTGCCCTGCTGAGCCACTTCTCTGGCCAGGTTCGCTGAAGCCCCTGCAGTCAGGTTCTCTGGGCCCTGGTGCACAATGCATCCGTAGGGCTTAACCCCTTCCTGCCCACGCTGTAGCTGGGGACAGCAGGCAGCTGGATTATGTTGGTGGCCAGCAGCAGCCTGGAGGTGGTAGCTGCCTTTCGACACTGTGCAGGTAGGAAGGGACAAGCTGCTTCCAACCACAGGGGAGTCGGGGTGGGGGGAGAGAGCCAGGTGACCCTGCATGCCCCCCACGTGGTGCCTCGGGAAGATGCAGTGGCAGGTACCAGGAGAGGTGGGTCCATCCCGGGGGCCCAGCCAGGCATGGATGGGGGAGAGCGCCAGGCAGGGAGCGTGGGGTCGGTCAAACACCCCCACCCCTCCAGTGTGAGAGAGGTGTACAGGAGTGTGTGTAGGTCACCTCTCCCCGTGAACCCTAAAGCCTTAACGATAAGAAGGTAAATAAAAAGAATCCAGCTACACACTATTTCTTTTTAAGAGGGGCTCAGTCAACTTGATGTTAATTTGAACGTTTATCCTGCATATTTCTGCCTGAATACTCATAGTGAAGCAAGTTCAATGGCAATTTTATTAGGTGGCCCATATTCAGCATAGGGAAATAGGGTCGCCCTACCTATCACTCACGCTGAGGTATTTGTCTGAATACACAATGTGCCTTTCTTCTAGGACATGAACAAAGACTTTTCCAGCCCAGCTCAGTATATATTTGTGGGTAGTGAAAGTGATGCGTGGTAGTAAATTGCTCTGAACCATTCCTAGTGCTTGACAAAGTTTTGAACTATTGACATTCAGCAAAGCAACTCCTCAGCAATTATTACACAGACAAAAGTAAAGCTCTGGGAGGAAAGAATAATTTTCTGCACATATTGATGCAGAGAGTCAGAGCATGAAATAAGGTCACAGCTACTGCTCAGTAGCTGCTCATATTATTCATCATTTCAGCTGAATCAGAGGGCAAGTGTTGGCACCAGGTTGCCCACTTAATAGCTATTTGTTTGAGGTTGGAATTGTTACTGGTGGATTGTCTCTTGATTTAGCTTTGGGACACAGAAATAGTGACGAAAGACAATTAGAGTCAAGAAAATGCACTGATCGTGGAGCTTTTCCTTTCCAAGTTTTCTTTGTTATGACGCACTCAGGGGCCTAGATGAGAAGCAAGGCTGAGGAAGAGAGGAACTTATGGAAGACACTGGAGCTCTGCAGCAGGTTACTCAAGCGATTTTATATGTTGACACTGACAGCTATCCATGGGACTGATTCAGGCGTGAAAAGCCTCCCATTGACTTCAATGGGCTTTGGATCAGGCCCCTTTGAGTAGCAGCCTTATCAAAAACATGGAAAACACCCACCCAAACAGCGTCTTCATAACCTTTGAGAGAAGGTTGCTATGCCACATGGCCGGAAAGCAAGAAAAGGAGCAGCTAAGTCGTTCCACAGCCCATCTCCACTCCATTCATTAGTTCTCATTCTCACCTTCCACCACCCACAACTATGTCTCTCCAGCCTTCAGCTGGAACAACCCAACCTGCATCTTTAAATCATTACACTAGCTCGCCTATGCAGGACTTCAATTCTGACATTTCTATATTTAAAAAAATCACCGGCAACATAGATCACTGATTCCTCCGTTATCCTAAAAATTACAGAGAAACAAAGCTCCCTGCTCCTGTTTGCAGTCTGACACCAGATCTCACTTACTCATACCAGTATGAACAGAGTGATAAACAAAACAAAACAATCAGCACATAACCAATAACAATAGTGCCCTGGTGCTCACTGGTTGTTCAGGATGGAGGCATATGCATACGTGTGGGCTGTGGGTGATGAAAGGGTAGTTGAAATTGATGAATGACATGCACCTGGAGTGCTGAATGACTTCTCTTATCTCCTTGTTTTTTGTGATGGGACTTTCAAAAACACTCAGCATCAGCATACCCTGCTCCGGTTGAAGTCAACAGTAAAAGCTCCACTGACCTCAGTGGCAGCTGGGACCCATGCTGAGTGCGTTTGAAAAGCCCACCCTACATGCCTGACTCTCGGCTGTGGACAGAGTCTGGGAGTATGAAATGTAAATTCTCTTATTTGCATTTATCTCTAATTGTAAGTGCAAACCTTTGGATGTGTCTAGAAGCCAGCTTGGGGGCCCCTTTTTAGAAAATGGGCAATAGTGTATATGGATCGTGTATATATATGTATGTATACACACACACACACACAAATATGAATATATACAACATGTACTGATGACACCCCTGTACTAAACTATGGAACCATGTGATAAATCACATTTATCATACAACTTTGATTTTTCTCACTTGCCCTCTCCCCATTTAGTCCCTCAGTACCACCTACGTTTAACATTTCAAACATCTGAGCAGCTTGAGCTACTATTAGTTTACAGAAACAGCCTGACAAGAGAGTTCCTCTCCTTCCCCGCTAATATAAAATTTCCACCCCCAAAATTTCACTGGCTTGATATGTCTGCCAATCAGTATTCAATCCTGAGTTAATGGCAGGCTTAAGGTCCAATAGCTTATGAAGCATGAGGCCTCGGAAAAACAGTTGTTTGAACACTGGCTAACCCAATATTCGGTCTCATTGAGTGTGAACTGGATATAACAGAAAAAGATCCATAGTGGACACGACACCATTTTCAGTGCTCTAGCTGCATGCGAAGCAATTTTATTGCCCACTATCTAAATGCCAAGTCTAATTTTAAATCCTTTAGAAATACAATAGAAACAAGTTTATAATCTCAGCGAGGATCTCCAGAGCAATGAGTTATCAGACTAATAGGAATTATTTGCTTTGGGCATTTAACTTACTATCGGACCTTCAGGAAATGAGATCCCATTATCATCTCTCAGCTTTGCAACACAGAAAGTAAACAAGGAAAATTAGGGTTACGCAGACCGTTATTCTCTTCAGTACATGTGGAGCCACGCTAAATCAGAGCAGCAGATGAGCTGACCCTTTATTTTTATCATCACTTTTTCTTCTCTTTTACATTAAGGTGTCCACCGTCGACCCAGGCATTCTGCTGGTGCATCTATCTTTTGCTGTTTAAAACGACACTTTGTTTGCAGGTAAGAATGGGAGCACGTGATCGGCGGTACATGCAGGAATGGAGAGATGAAAACAAATCTGATTGCTTTCCATAAACAGATAGATCAAAGCGCCTTCTGCTTCTTTGCCGCTTACCTTGCATCTGCCAGCGTTGCACGGACCACTGCCCAGGCTCCTACAAACACAGCCGGAAATCCTACAATTATGAAAAGTTAATTCGTCACTGTTCAGAACAGGTTCATTTGGAAGAATGATGGGGTGAGTGAGAATTGTTTCTTATTATTAATAAACCATGAGCTGTGAAGATGCAATATTCAACATGAGCATGAAAGACCAAATTCTAAAAAAAGGCGATGGGGTGGAACTGAGGTCAGAATTTGCACCTAAATTTTAGATAGAGCTGAAAGTTTGAAAAACACCCATTCTACACACAACTTTTTGGGCCAAATCCCTAGTTGGTGTAATTCAGTGGCTTCATTTATATCAGCTGAGGATCTGTCTTTGCCTCCACTGTTTCTTATACACCAGGAGCCAGAGGATGAGGTGATTCCGAGTCATGGAGCTTTTATCTCTATATGATACAGGAACCCAGCCCAGCTTGGAAATAATTTAAAAGTTTGACAGTCATTGGTTGGTGTACATGAAATGAATTGGGTAGCCTCAAGCCAGTTCCAAGTGAACAAACATCGACAAAACAAAAGCCAGAATCACAGCTGGCAACTTTCAGCTGTCACATCACGCAGCCCAAGGAACGTATAGGCGGGAAGCATGGATTATTCTTTCCCTCGAAAAGCTAGTCAAAGAAAGGATTGAGGCAAAGTGGCAGGACAGCATGGGGACATTTGCACTGTTTCTGCCCACAACGGAACCTGTTGGCTGGACAGAGGACTTCAGTCTCCTGCCATGTTTGCTCAGCCCATGTCTCAGATCAAGTATTTAAAATGCAGCACCACTCATGGGTGGTGTGATTCAAATACAGGGTCTGGGTTTGTTCTCACTGAGGTCAGTGGGAGTTTTGCTGCTGGCTTCAATGAAGCAAATGCAAAGGTTTCCAGTCACCAATCTCTAACCTCCCCTGTGAGAGTAAGAATATTTGTAGTGGAATCAAAGCTACCAACCTTTCATGTGCAAAGTTAGCTGTCCCCTCGGGGGGAGGTTTGCCACGGTGCAGAGGGCTGGCCCACAGCCCACTTTAGGCCCGTTTTGATGGCTTAGGTAGGACGTATGCAGTTCATGGGTTTGGTGCAGCTCATCTGCAGAGCACCAGATTTGGCCTACTCCTAAGGAAACGCTGTCGAAAGTGTATTCAAAAAATGGTGCTGGTGGTTTCATGAAGGATTGTTGCCCTTTCAGAATGTTTGTTTTTAGTAACAATTTTCTTAACATAGTAAACCTCCAGATGGCAGTTATTGAAAACACTATTGGCCTTGCTACGGCCAAATGCATTAGTGACCTGAGCTAAAGCCAATGGGAGTCTTTCCATTGGCTTCAATAGGCTTTGGGTTAGGCCCTAAACAACCGGTAAGAGCAAGGACTTCCTGTGGACTA